AATGTGAAATTTTTTCCTCTTCTGTTGTGTTTTGTTTCCTCTTTTTGGTGGTTCCTCCTGTTAGTTCTAATTCTTACTTACAACATCATAATGTGAAAATGTTTAATAGGACTGTATATGTATAGCCTATATCAGATTGTGCACCATCTTGGGGAGGGTGGTGGGGTGAAAGGGGGAGAAAAAAATTAAACTCTAAAGCATATGGAAGTGATTATTGATAAATCAAAATCAGTTAATTTAAAAAAAAGAAGGATCCACCAATAACCTGAAAGAGATCCCCAAAAGAAAACTCCTAGGAATATTGTAGCCAAATTCCAGAGTTTCCACGTCAAGGAGAAAATATTACAAGCATCCAGAAAGAAACAATTCAAGTGTGGTGAAAACACAATCAAGATAACACAAGATTTAGAAGCTTTTACATTAAGGGACCACAAGGATTAGAATAGAATGTTCCAGAGGGCAAAGGAGATAGAATTACAACCAAGAATCACCTATCCGGCAAAAGTGAGTATAATTCTTCAGGGGAAAAAATGGATATTCAGTGAAACAGAGGAATTTCAAGCATTCTTGATGAAAAGACCAGAGCTAAGTAGAAAATTTGAGTTTCAGATAAAAGACTCATGTGAAACATGAAGAGGTAAACAGGAAAGGGATATCATAAGAGACTTATTAAGGTTGAGCTGTTTATATTCTGCATAGAAAGATGATATTTGTAACTCATGGATCCTTTGTCAGTATTAGAGTAGTTGGAGGAAAAAAATTATCTGTATGTACACACACACACACACATATGTATTTAGAGAGGGCACACACACACATATATAGATATGTGTGTGTGTGTGTGTATATATATATATATATATATATATATATATATATATGTATGTATGTATTTAGAGAGAGAGTTGAAGATGAAGGGGTGATATCTGGAGAATAAAATTAAGAGGTGAGAAAGGATTATATGGGGAGAAGGAGAAAGGTAGAGGTAGAGTGGGGTAAATTATCTCACATAAAACAGACAAGAGGAGGCTTTTACAGTGGAGGGGAAATGGGGGAAGGTGAGAAGGAATGAGTGAATCTTATTCTCATCGGATTTGGCTTAAGGAGGGAATAGCATACACACTCAATTGGGTATGGAAATCTATCTTACCCTACAGGAAAATAGGGAGGAAGGGGATAAGAGAGCAGATGGGTGATAGAGGGGAGGGCAGATTGGGGAAGAGGTTAGTCAGAAGCAAACACTTCTAAGGAGGAACAAGGTAAAAAGAGAGAATAGGATAAATGGGGAGGAGGGATAGGGTGATGGGAAATATAGTTAGTTTTCCACAACATGACTACTATGGAAGTGTTTTGCATGACTACACATGTACAACCAGTATTGAGTTGCTTGCCTTCTCAATGAGGGTAGGTGGGGAGGGAGAAAGGGAGAAAATTTGGAAGCCAAAGTTTTAAAAACAAATGTTAAAAAATATATATTTTCACATACAACTGGGAAATAAGATATGCAGGCAATGGGGTATAGAAATCTATCCTGCCCTACAGGAAAATTGAGGGGGAATGGGGATAAGAGAAGTGGGGGAGAGACAGAAGGGAGGGTAGATCAGGGGAAAGGGTATTCAGAATGTACGCCATCTTTGGGTGGTGGGAGGGGTGAGAAGGGGAGAAAATTTGGAACTCAAAACCTTGTGGAAGTGAATGTTGAAAACTAAAAATAAATTAATTTTAAAAAAAACCCTCCTCACATCTCCTGCTCTTTCTTTCCACTGCCTCCTGTCTTCTCCAGAAGATCATATCTTCAGTATTCCCGCTGGTCAAAAGCCATTGTCAATCAGTTCCTTCCCTACCACACCCAAATATGCCCACATCTCATATGTCTGGGAAAAACAAAAGAACAAAACACCAGACCTTCATTAGATCCTATCATCTCCTCAAGCTTTTCTCCTATATGTTTCCCTTTCTCAGCAAAACTGGGGAAGTTTACATTGCCTGCCTCTATTTCTTAGTCTCACTCGCTGCTCAAACCTTAACACTGTCTTCTGACCTCATCACTCTATTGAGTCAAACAGTTTCTTTGAAAGTGATGAGTGATGTAATTGCTAAACCTGAGATCTTTTCTCGGTGCTCAGCCTGCACCTATTTGCTGCATTTGACATTGGTGACCACCTGTGCCTGGAGCCTTTGTCCTTTCTGGGTCTTTGTCGCCCATCCCTCTACTAGCTGGCCCAACTGACCTCTCCTTTCTGACTTTCCTTTTCTGCCTCATTATTCCCTCATGCCTTGGAATGATGAACATTCCAGAAGGCCCTTTCCTGGGCCCTCCTTCTCTACCTGCTTTTAGTGAGAGGGCTAACAGCTCTCATGTATTTATCATCTCTCTACTACTGGGCTTCAATCCCACATCACCAATTGCCTATTGGACATTAGAACACATAGACTTACATGTAGCATGTTTAAAAGTGAATTACTCTTCTCTCTAAACTTCTTTTCCCAACGACCTTTTCTTTTCTGTCAGAGGCGCCCCATGCTTCCAATGGCCCAGGTTTGTAACCTCAGCAGTACCCTGGCCTTTCCCTCTGGACCTACATGTCATTGGCAAATCTTGCTGTTTCTACCTTCACCTCTCTCTCATCCCCTCCCCCTCCCTCTTCCTCTATCTTTCTCATCCCTCCTCCCATCTCTTTCTCCCTCTCTCTCCCTCTCTACTCCCTCCTTCCTCTCTCTCTTCCTCTCTTCTCTCCTCTTTTGGCCTCGATACTCACTCACACAAGCAATTCTCTTCATTTGGATTCTCCTACATAATTGCCATCCATTTGCTGTCCCTGCCTCATCTCTTTCCCCTATAGCCTATCCTACACATGGCTGCCAAAGTAACTTTCTTTTTAATTTTTCAAGCAACAGGTGTTTTAAAAACTACTCTGTTCCTTCCTCTACCCTTCCCAGTTAAACTCGTCACATAGCTACAAAGTTCAGCAAAACAAATCCTCCCATTATGTTCAGTCGTGTCTGACTCCTCCATGATTCCATTTGCCATTTCTTTCTCCAGTTCATTTTACAGATGAGGAAACTGAGGCAAACAGGGTTAAGTGACTTAAGTGCCCAGGGCCACACAGCTAGTGTCTGAGGCCAGATTTGGACCTCAGGAAGAGGAGTTTTCCTGACTCCAAGCCCTTCACTGTGCACTATGGTGCCCTCTAGCACCCCATAAGTTCATCACCTGTCAGGTAAGTGGCAAGTTTTATCTTTGTTCTCAGTTTATCACTGGTTATAAAGACTTTTCAAGTGGTTTTCCTCTGCTATCATTGTATAAATTTCTCCAAAAGTATTTTTCCTCATGCACAGATCTGATGTGACTCCTTTACATCCCCTGCTACAGTGGTCACCTATTAACATCTAGGATTAAAGACAAACTCTTTAAGGTTTTAAAACCCTTCACCACCTCATTGGCCATTACTGACCCTCCAGCATGTGATAATTTAGCCAAACAAGTATGCCTTGTTGCTTACTGCCCACCACCCCTTATCCTCATTCCTCCCATCTTGGCATGAAGCCTTTCCCGATAGTCCCCAGCTGCTGGTACCATTCCTCTAAAACGACCTTGAATGCATTTCCATGTGATCATAAGTTTTACATTTATACTATCCGCAGTCTTACATACTAATATTCCCCATTAGTATGTAAGCTCCTCAAATATTGGGATTATTCTTTGTATCCCAAGTGCCCTATAGGGCAGTGCCCTAGAACATAGATCTTGGGACCGATGCTTAAATGATGTGGGAAGGGATGAGGCATCTATGAATGTTATAGGAGGGGGAAAGTAGCTGATTTTAGAGACAAGATATTTCTGTACGTATGCAGAGACAGGGGAATAACTGGGCTTTTCACAAGCCTCATTCTCCTTGACCTCTCAGGAGCTGTTGACTCTATAGAGATCACTCTCTTCTGGGTTTGGGGACACCCTTCTTTCCTCTCTGAAGGCCAGTCCCAGCTCTGGGTGCCTGCTGTCTCCTCCCTTCTCCCCCAACATGCCTCGAATGTTCTCTCTCACTACTGGCCTCCTAGGCTTCAGCTAAATTCCAGTCATTCAGATTGGGAACTCCTTCTTGGCAGGGCCAGACTTTGGCCTCCATTTTATGTTCCCAGGACTAAGCAATCCCTGGCACAAGTTTATTGATTAACTTTAGTTATATGCTCAATAATATGCTCAAGATAAATCTGAGTTCTTCTGTTACTCTGTGGTTCCAAAAGGCATGATGAGAAGAAGATACACTTCTATGATAAAATGAAGGATTGAGCATTCTGATTCCAGGGTAAGAAGCCATTATTACTCCTGCCTTTCAATGAAAAGATGCAGTCAGTAAGTCAACATCCACAAGAACCCTGCTACAGTCCTTGGGATGGCTCAAGGTACCAGTAATCTACTTTTTTTTTTTCATTCAAGCCTTTAATTTCATATCCTATACAATCCTCCATAACCATAAGAATCTTGCCAGAGGCTGGCTTCTGTGAAAATGGAAACTCCTCCTCTTCTCCCCTCCCAAAGCAGTTTTTGCTTATGAATACTGTTATGTTAAGCCTTCAAATATCCAACAGCCAAATGAATCGCTCTGTAAGTTACCACTGCTTCAAGTTAGGCCTTGAAAGAGTTGGAACAAGTTCAGATCTTTGATTTTCAAATGGCAGCCCCATGTATTGTCCACATACTAGAATTTTCAAAATTGGACGTTGTCTAAACAAAACTTACTACAGTGGAATCAGAAAAGGCCTGTGTTTGAAAAAAACTTTTTCCCCCCAACAGTTTTTGCAGTTGTGGTAGAGAGAAAACAAATGAAACAAGATAAGATAGATTACACTTCATAAAATAATCATTATGAGGAGTGGAGAAAAGTTGGGACTGCCATAAAAATACATGCGTATACATTCTGTGTATAATTTATTTACCACAAAACCATGAGTAAGTAAATTCAATGAATTCACACAAAAAGTTTTTAGGTTATGAAGAAAAACATTTAATGAAAAAAAGTTTACATTTGCTAAAAAAAAAAACCCAAAACAAAAAATGAACCTTCATTGCCTTGAACATTGTCATTCACTGCCCCATTTACAAAATAACGTGAAATTTTGTGACAATCAGTCAAACTATTTTATTATATTCACTTAACTAAATATTTGTTCTATCCTTATTGCCTTAAAATTATATTTTACTATTTGTAAGATGACCTTCATCTTCACTGTCTTCACTTTCTTCTTTGTTGCCTGGATTTAGAACAAAAAACACAAGATAGACATATATAAATATTTTATCTTGTATACATATGTATTAACAGCAGATAGATGTAATGGCATTTCCAATTAGAAAGTTATTTAGAAACATTAGAGCAATATCCCATTATCTAACCACAGTACCTGAAACCCAATTTCCTATTAGATCCCATATGCTAGTCTTTTCTGCAAAAATTCTACAAGAGAACCTGTTCAGTTTAGATTTGATATTTTTCTCTTTTTCAAATCAATGAATAAAAAAGGAAAGGTCTACAAGACAAATCACAAGTTAACTTCAACATTTTATTTAACATAATTGATCACAAGCTACACTGGGGTAAACCTCTCAGTCTGTTGATATGTGGACTTCTGTAACTTCATATCACTTTTGAAATGGCTGAATTCAAAAATTGAAATGCTAAATTCAAAAAACATTGACTTTCAACTGAAGAGTCCTGCACTGGGTCAAAATGGATAAAATATAGAAACAAATTAACATGCACAGAATGTTAAAATTCATATGACAAAAAAGCCTAAGTTACACTTTTCATCATGAAATTCAAGATAATGCAACATTCATTTGAATTCTTATTTCTGACAAACGTGCTATATGTTAATATTAGGCCAACTGAAGAGTCTGGTCTCCCTCTGCTTTAATCCTACTACAGTGACCAGAGGGCTCTGGAAAGTCATCTCTGTGCCACAAAATGGGCCAGGTTTCACCCAGTTCAAAGGTTCTGGATCTAGAACCAGTGAAGGACTTAACAGTGTGTGGAGGTGGCCTGTGGACCAGCCAAACAAAGTGCCAAGATCGTACCACAAGATAAGCTGTCCTCCCTCTAAAGGCAAGTAAGGGTCCAAAGACCATCAATTAAGTTATGATGTCACTGTAATATAATCAGTAGAATACCCACACAGAAAGATTATAGAATAGTACACGAAAATTCCTAACTATTCTTACAATAACAAATTCTTGGGATATTTAAATAATAGAGTAAGGAAGCTCCTTTTGAATACCTGGTGAATTGAAAATATAAATTAAAGTTAATTGATGCTTATTAAGGATTTTAGGATAGGGGCTTTAAAATGTAAACAGGTTAGGGCAAAAAAAAAATCTCATTGATCTGGGGCCTTCAACTATTAAGAACAGGTGTGAGAACCCTAAAGTGAGAGAGAGACCAGATAGCTTGCTTACTTTACACACAATTGTAACAGGTTAGTTATATAGTTTTCTATAGCTGCCAAGGAGGTTGGGGGAGGGAGAAAAGGGGAGAAGGAAAGCAAATGACAGTAAGAAAAATGTATAGCTGACAATGAAGAGTCTGGGATGATTGTGGGTCTGCAAATATCATTATATTACAGCATAGTAACTGATGTTCATATTGATGACTACTACTCCTCAAGGAAAGGTTAAATTACGTTTTAAATACTTGGCTTTAGAAAGCAGAGAAGTGTGTAATAGATTTCAGGAAGGTTTCTATCTAAAGTGGTTAAAATAATAAAAAAACAAAAGCTAGTGCTTAAAGGGCAGAGTGAAGGTTCAGTTATCCATAAAATTAGCTTATACTATCCAAGCTTCATATTTATCCAAATCTGATACTACTTGGATAAACAAGGAATTATACTGTACCTAAAAGAATCAATGTTTTACCATTCATAACAAATCGTTGCTTTTCAGTTTTGTTTCGGAATAACAAAACTAAAAACAAACTTGCTTACCTACCCTGCCCTACAGTGCTCATTTAAAATTTTTGTTTTATTGAGGAGGAAGCTCAACATATTCCAAACACTTAGGCCCTCTTCTGCCCCAAGACAGACAAGATCTGTTTCATCTGTTCTGGAAAAGTTGACCATATATGTATTACCAGAACAGAATAAGGTAAAGATTGGTATAGCAGGAAGGGTTTCACATTATATTTTATTTAAATTGCCTTAGATAGCAAACACACATTACCTCATTCCAAAGTCATGTAAATGATTTTTAGATTATCTTATATAGTACTGAGAGTTGAACCTAAACCTTTGAGAAATTTAGCAAAAAGTGTGATATGCCCATTAAAAAGAAATGTCATAAAATATGACATCATACCTATTTTGAACTTCTGGTAGCTGGTTTGGTCTCCTTAAGTTGTGTTTTCTTCTTTTCCATGAGTTGGAAAACTCCTGGTCATTACTTAATTTTGTGGATTCCACAGCGTCATTTTCTTGAGTCTGGTTTGTGTTATTTTTTAACATAGTACTGCTGCTTCCTTCTCTAAGCAAAGAAGGCTCTGACTGGGTTTCTTGGGGCAATAAAACCACTTTTAAACTGTCGTTTGCCTTTGGGACAGATTTTAGAAGACGACTCTCTGGGCTATACTTTTCAACATCAGTTGGCTCTGACAGTTTGCTACTAGGTGTCTTTGATTTTCTTCTCTTCTTTGTCAAAATAGTACTGTAAAAAGTTTTCTTCCAACTTGAGACTTTTTCTGGGGTTGATTCTCCTGCTGTTAAAACAGTAGTCTCTGAAGCAGCCGAGGACGGCTCATCTTTGCTAAGATTAGCAGATCTTTGAAGATCTGTATCACCCCCTTTCTCGTTTAAGCACTTGTCAGGAAAAATCTGAAGAATATTTTCTTTTCCAATCTTACCCAAAGGTAGGATGTCCTTTGACAAAGGATTAAATCCTATCCATTCTGTATTGCTTCTGTTTCTCCCTTTAGACCTTAAATGTACCCAGTCTTCAGTCATACCTCTATCTTTATTCTCAGCACAAGCTATCTCCATTGCCCTAAGCAAAGGAGAACTATAGAGTTCTTTCTCAGTTTCACTTTGGCTTCCAATTCTAAAGGATTCTTCCACTCTATCCTCGGCTTTATTTTCCAGGCTTGGAAGCTGCTTTTCAACAATCTTTGTTGGACTAGGTATATGATTAATGTCTTGTGGTTGTTTGTTTCTGTTTCTAGTTAAACATAAAATTCCTTCAGGTACCAATGAATTTTTAAAGATATTGGGGCAAATACCCATGCATTTCTCCTCATCTTTTTCGATATCGTTTGTGGGTGTTGATACAGGATTAGATCCTTTCAGTCCTGTATCCTTTTTATTTTTATTGCTAGACCTTAATGCAGTCTTCTGGACTTTCGCAGGCTTCTTTTCCTCTTTTAGTTTTATTTTGGGTGCAACCCTGGCAGCATGGAGTAATCTAATACCCCTACTTCTAGATCGTGAAGACCCATGACATGGACTCACCTCCTTCTTATTTGCTTTCTTCTCCGGGATACTCTTCCCTAGACACTCCATACATATACTCTCTTGTGCTTCTGTTTTGTTTTTACCTGGAGATCTTAATGACATAAACTTCTCCGGGAAGCTCTTGTGCAGTCTGTTTGTTTCCCTAGACAATGTATTATTAAGTTCTTGGGATTCTGCATCTACTTTATTTTTGCCTCCAGTTTTTGAAGTCATCATCCCTATATTGGGACTTGCATCTTTAAGTTTCTTCTCCTTGTTCTCTGTCTTACATAGTTCAGTTGGTAAACCTAAATTAGGCTTTTGTGATTCCTTAGCAGACTTAATTATATTGCTAGATCTTAAAGATTCCATCTTTGCATGAACTGTGGAACTCTTAGGTGGTGTCTTTTCCTTACTCTCTATGCATATCTTCTCTCTCAAATTTGACTTGTTTTCCTTAAAAATTTTAGTTTTGCTTCTCGTTCTTGAAGCTACTCCATCTTCAATCACAGTCATCTTCCCCTGCAACTCTTCACATATTTTTGATCATTTTCTGTGTGTAACTCATCTATTTCACTCGATAAACCCAAATTCAATTCCTCGATAGTTTTATTTCTATTTCTAGGGTGCAATACTAGCTTTTGACCTTTTAACATCCCTGGAAAATTCTTCGAAGGTTCCTTTTCACTATTTGGGAATATTTTATCTGATTCACTAGGAAATATTTCCTTTTTATTCTTAGAACGCAACACCATCATTTCTTTATTCACAATTCTTTTTTTCAATTTTAGCTCTTTTAAGACCTTAGGGGGCTTCTTTTCATTTTCCTCTGTGTGAGATATTATTTCACTAACTGAACCACTAACTTTTGATTTTTCATCAGTATCAGTTTTAGGTCTAGCCCGTAAAGCCATCAAAAATCCTCTCTTTTCATTCTTTTCTATTGTTAATTTGTTTGCCAGATTAAAACCTTGTATCTTTAAAGAAGTTAGCTTCTCATTGGCTTTCCTTGGCAGTCTCTTACCAAGGTTTCTTTTCATCAACTGTTTGTGACACATCTGATTCACTAGGTGGGTCTTTGTTTTTATTACTAGACCTTAACATTATCCCTGTCCCTGCATCTGGAACTGCATTATCAAACGTCTCTGTTAAGTTCTTCACTGACTTCTGTTCAGCGTTCTCTATATCTGACAGATCTGATGAACTTCTTTTTCTTTTATCAGCTGCTTGATTTCTTTTTCTAGGTCTCAAATGTACCCTGTTCTCTGTATTGTTCACTGTGTCCCAAAACATTCTGGACCCACTCTTCAGAGGTTCCTCCACTTCTACTTTTTCTGAGGGTGACAAACTTCTCTTCACACTCTTTTCATGAAGTGATTCTGTATCTTTGTTTTTACTTTTTGATCTTAATGATATGGATATTTGACTCTCATTGTTGAGAAGAAAATCATTTATTTCATCTTCTTCTTTCTCTGTGGTCATACTTCTTGCTTCAGTAAGCAATTCATCACGTTCCATCATAATGTTATCTTCCAGGTTCACTGAATATAACCCATCAATTTTAGAGATATTAGATTTATTTTCTGAAATAAAAAACAGATCAAAAAAATTTAATTACACAAAGCTAGATATCTGATCAGCACATAGATAGTCAACCATGGTTTAAAAAAAAAACCCTAGGTCAAATGCTCAGTCTAAGGATCTATAGATAGGGCGGGGGTCTTTACATTTTTCATTTACCTGAGGGTTTCTAATCAGGGTTTGTCTAGGTGCATTTCCTTTTCACAACCAAGAGATCCTTCTTTTCTCCCTAAGAGAAAGGCTTAATCACTTAATCTTTTGGACCAAGTCTTATTTACCAATTATTATTCATATATTTTTAGTCTAGTTTTTGTTATTTTTCAACAGGATATTAAGGATATTCCTTTTTATCAAAATGAGCTTTTGATTTAGTTTTAAAGTTCTAGCTACACTTGTATCATCCACCATTCATTCCCCACCCTTCCAAAACACAAACACAGTGCAGGGAGAGGTCTGAGACATATGCTAAGGAGATAAAATTGTCCATTCTCTGAAAATATTCCTTAGTGTTATATCAGTTCCAAAAGGTTCCACCAACTTTACTCAAACCTTTTGAATACAAAATATAAATATTTTTACTTACCATCTTCTTCATAAGGATTAGTGCAGATTTTTTTTTGGCATTGGTCCACTGATTGGTCCTAAAAGGATTAGAATGTGTTGATAAATTTAGTGAAATATAATTTTGATTTATTTTCAAATATCATTTATACCATAGAATTTTTAAGGATGCTGCGCTTAATACTATGCTCACCTGAATCATTGCTATTCAAAGGATAGAATTTTATAGTCCTGTTCTTCGAAAGACTTCTCTGATATACATACACGATATCTTAACTTACTACAGTAAAAATTGATTATACCAGTTTCTATTTCAAGAAAACTCTTGTGATGAAAACGAGATGAAGAAAAATTGGCTTCTGCATTGGAGAAATACCCAGATTGATGCCCAGAAGCATTATGAGAGTCCTTATGTATATAATGAAAGGCACCTATAAAGGCAACCAATTTCCCATCATTGTAATAATTTCCCCCCTACTGCAGCCCTAAACTAATAACAACAATCATCTAGATTCCACCTCCAATGTGCAAAAAAAACCCCAAAAAACTTTAATACCTAAATTGTATAAAAAAAACCATTTAATGGTCTTAATTTTTTCTTCTGGAGCAAAATTAATATCTAGTCATCCCTCTTCTGCATGAAAACCCTTCAAATATTTGATATTACTCTAGAATCTGTCTCCTTAGTCTTCTCTTCTCCAAGGCACTCCTGATACATTTTTTTTGAAATTTGACCCTGATTTCTCCCATTCATTTTTTTCAAACTAGCTCACATCTACTTCCAGTTGTCATCACACATGTATAACAATTAAAATAATCATTATTTAGTTGCTGAGCAAAATGATCAGGTTCCTAATTTGCAAGTACTCTCTATAGGAATTAAGTTATTTTCATTGAAATACTTGTGTATGTAATGTGTGTATACATACGTATTACACACACACACACTACACACACATATGTATGTGCAAATTTACACTTAAACTGAAAGTACTGTTTAATCTTTTTTGCTTTGCTTTCTTACAGGATATTTTTTTATTCATTGAATGGCATGCCCTGTGTATGCATACACATGTGTGTGCATCATACACCCCCCCAATACACACACACATACACATGCACATGTGTCTATGCAAAATCACACTTAAACTAAAGGAGCTGCTGGATTACCTTGCTTTCTTGTGGTGACTCATCCATGTTTTCTAATCCAGTATTGTTGATTTCAAAATCGGGTTCCTGTGATTTTGGTTCTGCTTCAAGGTTTTTTGATTCAAACATATCTCTTTTGAATTCTTTCTCTCTTGATGGTTCCAGTAACTTACTGATACCTCCAACTGTCTGAATTTGTACTTCCTGTGGTGACTCTAGTATGTTTTCTGTTATCTTATTTTCTTGATCATTGAATTTTTTTATTGCTGGTCTTCTGAGTATCTCTATTTCTTGCAATTTTTGTGGGTTACTTATATCTACCACTTTTTTTGGAGTCTCCATGAACACAGTAACATCTGTCAAATCTTCTGACTCTCCTTTTATTTTCTTGTGGGTCCTCAGTCTTTTAGTGACTGTCAGGTCTTCCGTCAACTCTGCCTTTATTTTCTTGGGAGACATTGATCTCTTTATACCCAGCAGCTCCTGCGGTGACTCCCCCTTTACTTTTTTGGGAGAGACCCTTGTTAGTCCCTTCACACCAGTTGGCTCTTCTGAGGACTCTCCCTTTACTTTGGGGGTTCTCATTAATTTTTTTATGCCAATTAGATCTTCTACTTCTGCTTTTCTGGACATCTTCATTTTGATGTCTGTTAGATCTTCTAGTGACTCTTCTCTTACTTTTTTAGATCTCATGAATTGCCTCATGCCAGTTAGATCGTCTCCTGACTCTTTTTCTTTAGGAGTCCTCTCTACCAGTTTGATGCCTGTTTGATCTTCTGCTGGTTTTACTTTTGACATTTTTGAAAGCCTTCTAAAACCTGTTAAGTTTTCTACTACTTTTGACTTTTCCTTAGGAACTGTCATATTCCTAAGACCTGTAAGTTTTTCTACTCCTTTCGGTTTTCTTCTAAGTTTCCCTAGGCCACCTGCTGTATTTTCTATTGGTTCTATCTTGGGGATTTCATTAAACTTCTTAATACTCACTGAATATTCTGGATTGCATTTTTGCTTTGATGTTTCAACAGACTTCTTGACAACTTCCACATCTTCTATTAAATGTTCCTCCTTTTCCTTAGGTGTTCTTATCAGTCTCCTGGTCATGGTCAGATCTTCTACTGATCCATGTTTCTGGTCTAGTTTGATTAGAAGGGATTTGTTGATGTTTCTATCTTTGATTGGTTCTAGCATTTGTTTTGGAGTAGTCGTCCTAAGCTCCTTGAGGCATGTATGGTTTCTGGAAGTTGTACATTTTTCTTTTGAATATGCACAAGTTGATCTCTGAGGCCTACCAGATCTTTAGACGGCCCTTTCTGCTGAAGAGGCTGCTTAACGTTCATATTTTGGTTGCTTTTTTCCTTAGAAGAACTCATCATCATTCTTTCATTGCCTCCCACCTCCTCCTCCTCTGATTCCACCTTGTCCTTAGGAGTTCCCATCAGTCTCTTGACCACTGTCGTCAGATGCTCGACAGAGCCACATTTTCGTTTAGGAGTTTTCATCAGCTGCTTGGGAAGATCCTCTGCCTCAGTTTGCTGCTCTACTGTCCTCATCAGCTTCTTTTGGACTTCACCTTGCTTTGGGGCTGTCCCAAGATTTTCCTGAACAGAATTTGCATCATCCACAGCAGACTCTGCCACTTTGTTTTCTTCGTCTTCTTTTAGTTCTGCCACCATGGATGTTGGAGTTGCCATAGGCACTCTGATGACAATTAGGTCTTCTGTTTTTCTTTTTCCCTTTGGGGTTCTTATTACTTTCTTCATGCCTCCTGGCTCATTGATGTAATTTGGTGTTACAGTTCCTGGGGCAGCCTGAAAATCTAGAGACACAATACCTGGCTTTATACTTATTTTATTGGCTCCTGTTGGAGAGTACTCTTCATTTTGTGATCTTGATTGCTTTATGATTCTTGTTGGCTGGTCAGTGACAGGTGGCTCTTTATTTGATTTTCTTTTTAAGGAAGTTGTGACTAACTGACCTGACAATTTTGGTTTTTGATTCCTTAGGTCTATATCTATTGCATTTTCTTTTTCTTTTTCCACTTTGTAGGCTACTTCAGTCGCTCCTTTGATGTTAAAAGTGTTGGCCCGTGAATTTGATGTTATATGTGTAGCTGTAGCTGATGTTATTACTGGATGATGTTCTGCCATACTTGTCCTACTTGGCTCCACAAATTTCCTAGATATTTTTGGTGTAGCCCTGTTTACATTTCCACTTTCAAATTTTTCTTCCATAGATATAACTTTTTGATCTAGTGGTGGTGTTTTAATTCTGCCAAGATACGGTGTTGATACATTTTCCTTTGATGTACAGGTTTTCACCTTTTTCGAACTCGGTGTTAATATTTTGGGGTCTACATCGACTTCTTGAAGTGGAGTCTTTGTTATTTCATCACTTCTAATTTCAGAGATCTCCTTTAGGGTTTTAACGATTTCATCATTGTCTACCCGTCGCTGCCGGTTTCTTGGGGAACGGCGGCATGTAATGCTCTGGCCATATAGCTGTTCTGTTGTGTTGGAAATAGTAGGTATCAATCTCTCTGCTGTAATAAATGACAGAATAAAGATAATTATGAAACAAAGACCATGCCTCCGCTCAGCAATCTAGGCCCTCATTCTTCTTTATGGATTAAAGGTCTACCCCAATTATTGTTTTGTAGTCTTGTGTTTTCCTGGCCAATGATAATAATATTTAGTAAGATGATGCAAATCTGTGCCTATCCAGGTTAAATATATATATATATATATATATGTTGCATTACATGTAATTATAATATATAGACATACGTAACTTAAAGTTATGGCTAGTTTGGTTGGAATACAGAGTACATGAAGGACAGCAATCTGAAATGAAGTGGGTTTGGGGAGTTTGCATTTAATCCTAAAGGATGAGGAAGCCAACTAAAGATTCTTGGGCATTCTAATTACTATGGGTTAGATCTCCACTTCAGGAAAATAATTTTGAAAACTGTGTGAAGGGAAGGATTGTGAAGAGGAGGCCAATTAGGAAGCTATTTTAGCAGTTAAGGGCTAGAGGCAATTAGGTCCTAAAAGTAGAGTGTTGGCCACTTTAGTAGGAAAAAAGGGATAAATCCCTTTATCCTTGGAAAGAGAACTGACAAGACTTGCAGTTACTAGATGGGACTGGGGTGAGATTGAAGAATCAAAGTTTCTTTGTATAGCTGCTAAATATAACTTACAAGAAATGTTTAAATCGTATCACAAGAATGTCTAAACTATGTTTGGATGTTGGCTCTCCTTATTCATCATAAAGTAAAAATTCTACACGGATGGGTCATGTCATTGTGATTCAGTGAGGGCCCAGCCCTTCGGATTTGAAAGTTAACTACAGCAACTCATGAAACCTCTACTGGCGTGGCAAGGCCTTATATTTGACATGGGGCTACAAATACAAATCCTAACTTGCCATTCCAAAGTTTCACAGAAGAAGAAAAAAAGGAAAACCAACCACTAAAGTAATTATCTGATCTCTGTTCTAAAGAGTCTTCATCTCCTGAAGAAGACTTGTGTAAAGTTGTACCAATCTCAGGAGACGCGTTTGCAGTTTTCTGTTTGATAGGGGTTTCAAACATGTCTGCTAATCCTATTAATGAGGAAAATAAGTAATATTAATGTATGTAATAAACACATAGAATATCATATATGCATATGTACTGTATATATTACAGATTTTTACTAAAAAAGTCCTATTCCACCTTCTTCCAACAAGAAAACAATGCAACAGAGTCCCCTTCCATTCTATTCATAAAGAGATCTCTTCTCAAAGTCCAGGGCACTCAATCAATCTAGATGCAAACTCTTGACTCTCATTCCTACTTCAAACAATGCAACAGACTCCCTCTGCTCATTATGCATAATGATTTCTTTTCAAAGTCCAAGGCCCCCTACCTAGGCTGCAAACTCAACTCTTCTTTCCTGCTTCCTTCCACTGGCTTTTGGTTCTTCTTGACTGGCATTTAGGCCAGTCTCTCTGCTTCTCTTGTTCTATTGAGTCACAACCACCTTTATTCTTCCCTTGACCACATACCACAAGATAGAGCCCTAGCCCTGCCCAGAGGCGTAACTATGCCAACTGAGAGTTATCATGGGGCTAGTTTGTTTGTAGCTGAAAAGATAGGCTATCCCACCAGATCCGATTACAACAACTGGCCAGGACCTCTAAAGAATGTGTGCTCCCCATTCTGCAGGAGTTATGGAGCATTTCTCTCAGTTCTTTTAAATTTGTGCTTCTACAAACACATTTTGGCAGGCAGTCTCAATCTGCCTGCCTACATGACATTCTCATAGCCTTCTGTGCACACTTTTTCACCTGTTAAATCCTCATTCATATCCATCTTAGGGTTTAATACAAAGTTGTTCAGCATCCTACAGGGCCGTATAGGCACAGTCACTTTTTCAGTATGAGCTCTCCCAATCACTATGGTGCAGGGAGAATTTGCGTGGCCTGTGCTAAAGTGATTCTGTGCGTGGTTTGCAGGCTTCTCCTGTAAAGTAAAAAGAAACATTTCATAAATAAATTCAGTATTTCTTAATGTTTCCTCAGATGACATTCATAAGTACACAAGTGTAAATGTGTAATACACACATATGATATATATATATATACATATACATATCCACACACACACATATATTATGTATATATATAACATGCACACACACACATGTAAAAATGATTCCCACATTTCTGTAATGTACCTTGACCTTGGGGGTTAATCTTTTCTGCTTTTTTATTATTCTTCTCTCAAGACCATGTTTTATAACAACGTGTGCTTGTGGTTTTTTAGTACCTAATCTCACCACATCTGCCCAAGAGTGTACAACTGTTAAGAAAAGTAACAATTAATAAAAATAAAATTCATTCAAACAGAAGATAAATGAACATTTTTTTGGATAAAACAATCAACAAAGAGAAAAACAAACCTCCCTAAACAATGATATCTTCCCTATTTCTAGTCACCCAACCAACTTCAAAGCATTCTCTCCCCCACTTTCTTGCTGGATACATCCAGCCAAATTTTGCCATTTATCTCTTCTCTCTACATCTATCATGTCAACTCCTCTTTTCTCTTGACTCACAAATACCACCAGGTACTATATGTAAAAGCTCCCCCCCCATTCTCACTGCAAACTGATTTGTAACAGGTGCCTAATTCCTGTTTTCCCTCCTTTTAATTTCTCTTTCCTACAGTAGTTGCCAAAGTGATTTTTGCTAAACCTAGTACATAAGTCTTACCCATCATGTCTCAACTCCTTCCTGTTATTCTTGACAAACTTTAAGCAGCTATCACTCCCACGAGATTACTAACTTTTCCAGCCTTGTTTTATTTACACCTTTTACCTATAGCCCCACACACAGCTCTCACTGCCTGATCTGGTCACATACTGGCCTTCTTACAGTTCCTCCTACATCTGTTTCCTGTGTTGTAGGCTGTACATCTTAAGCTCTTTGAAGCCAGGGGACTGCCTGTGCCCTGTTTGTAAAAACCATCTTAAAATTATTCCCTGTTCAAATACCCATGATATTGGCTTTGGATGCACCGCTTCTCCTCTTAGCGTAAATTGTCTGCAGCGTATCAAACTGGCTTCTTCTTCCAGAGGAGGATCTCCTCGGGAGTGATGGTGTGCTCACAATCTTGTGGGGCTGGATGGTCTGGATTTCGGGAATAGATGTTGCTCTCTCGTCCAGTAATTTTGAAAGGGAATTGTTATCCCTGCCCCGTGCAGACTTCTTCTTAATACTAAAAGTGGCTGGAAGTTCTTGTGATGGGTCTTTTGTATGTAGTATCCCTTCCACTAGACTGTCGGAAGGCTCTTTTTCTGGTGGTTTAGAATGCGTCTGCTGAAATGGACATTTTTATACAGTTTATAAATGACAAGATCTGCTGTGGTTCCCTAATAAATAACTGAATATGCCCAAGGTGCATCAAAAGCCTGTGACAGACATTTCATTTGAGTCTGACAACAACCCTTTGAGGGCTAATCCTACAGAGACTATCTCTGCAAAGGTGCCCCTTCGAGGCTCAATGAGCTTTGGGGACAAAAGTCTCCCCCAGCTGCCAGTTAGCAGTGAGACGGATATAGCCACACGTATGTCTCTTTATAACAACGATGCCAGCCACCATCAGTCCTGAGCACATTAGTTTAGGCCTTGCCTTCCTAGCAATGAGAGCTACGCTACCCCAAAGTTGGAAAGGATTGCTTCTTCCCCAAGGCAATTAAGAGGTAGACGAGGTCCTCGAACAAAGCCTGCCTGGCCACTTGTTAGGAATGCTGTCAAGTTCACTGGTTTGCTGTAGATGGGGCCCCTGCCGTCAGCTCGAAAAGAATGGAGTTTTCCATCATTACTAGAGCTCAGTGCTTCACATTAACTGTCTACCACCACCCAGTGGCAGCAACCATAACTACAGGGATATACCCTTCAGAGGGTTGCTTGGCAAAGCAAAGAACTTTCTCTTTTCCCAATGACCCTAGGAAATAGGGACTATATTACTTGCCCCTAAGTATAAAACTAATAGCAGCAGCACAAAGCAGAAGCTGAACATGTTTAGAGTCTGAGGGCCTTACAATGTACATGTCACCTCCCTTTGGTGCTCTGAGGTCTTGCAAGTTTAGGGTCTGATTAAGTCAGTGTATAATAGGCAAAAAAAGTTTTGCTTCTTTTGTGAATCACATACTATGTATGATGGCAAATGTTAAATGAGATTTTATGTCTCAGACTTTTATTAAACACTGCAATAACCATAGCAGACCTAGAGAAACTCAGGGCACTCAAGCGTCTTCACACATCTTCTATATCAAGACCTGATGCTCCCCTTGTATGCTGGAATACCTCGAGTCCCTAGTGTATGAGAAGCCAACATAACAGTAAATAACTGAACTCTCTCCATTTAAAAAGATATTCAATAGGGTATCACTTGTGAAGATAGGATAATATATACCACTACTTGTTAAAAATGCAGTTAGGGTATGGATCATAGAGAAATGCATAATTTAAATTATAGACAAATTAAATAATCCTTGTCTAAAATACTGTACCTTCATTATTGACTTTCTTGGGACATAGGTTCCAGATGATGTTTTTCTCGTCTCTGGGCTTTCTCCTTTTTTAAGAGGTGTATTGGGAGGTAAATTTTCATCAAATAATTCAGGTCTCAGAAGGGCTCCAAATGAAACTCTCCTCCTTTTCGCACATGATTCATTATTCTCAGTAACATTATCTTAAAAAAAAAGTATAGATATTTGTATACACATTCTCTCTATATATACATATATATCTGTATATATGTGTGTGTGTGTGTGTGTATAATATATATATATACATATACATGTTTAATGTACTTAGCTCTACACACTGAATACCACAAAAAAGATATGAATACACACACATCATAGCCTGAAACAAATTGGAATGTGAAGGAGCTTTCCAAAGACTTCTCGAGAGGATGTTCTGTGTTGCCTAGAATCCAACTCTGAATCACTCCTGGAAAGCACTGTTAAAATATGTCGAGGGGGCTTTGGGAGCAAAAGAATTAAGTGTTGCCTTTCCAATGTCCTCCTCCTGATGGCATCTTTGGATGGGTTATCAGTTATCAATGACCCTAAAAATTTAACTTTTCATTATCCAGATCTGTTGAGGAGACAGGCCATCAATAATTTTGAGAGGGAAGGAAGTGAGAGCTGATCAACTTGCATCAGAAAAACTCCCTTTGGCTACAAAATAAGAACCCAAACTAAATGTATCTTATAAACATGTTTACATATAGACTACCCAGACTACTACACGCAAATGGCAGAAATGTAAAATCTCTTTAAAAAATTAGGATTTACCCAGTTTATCAGTACTTGAATCAGAAGAGGAGTCAAAATCACTGATATCAAAGTCACTGATATCAGGTGATACACAATGAGGTCTCTCATCAACTTCATCCTCATCTAACGATTTGTTAGGGGTTTCATCATCATCTTGGGGAGTTAATTTTGGAAGAAACGTTGACGAGTTCTTTGTGGAATCTGTAGAGGAGTTACTAGGTCTGGGAGAAATATATGTGGTAGATACTTTCATTTCCGACAAGCCCTTGAAACATGGTTCATCTTCAGTTTCTTTTAACATCTGTTCTGAATTTGAAGCTTTCTTTGGATTCCTAAGTTGGTTACCGCCACTGTTCTTCTTTCCCTTTGGGATTCCTTTATTTTCAGCCAAATCTACAGATTCGCCTGTGCGAATCTCAATAGGTGAACCCCCTCTCTTGAGTTTGGGCAGTAGGCCATGGCCACCACTCCCCAAGAAGCACATGTCGGGCCTCTTGGTTTGGGACCGGAGTGTGTGAAGAGAGGATTGACTTTGGGCATCTCCCAGGGGCCCCCGAGGGGCTGACCTCCTCCTCTTGTCCTCTTTCCCGCGGCCCTCACTATATTTCCCTGAATTCTCAGCGGGTTGCTCTTCGCTCTTCCTCCATTTTGAGGGCATGCTCAGTTGCTGTGATTGCTGGTCTTCTTTATCAAGGAAGTTTTCATCCAACTGTAACAAAGGGTTGTTACAGAAGGGGTCTTTGGGTTCTTTTTCGCCATCACTACTGTTATCGTTGGACCCATTGGAGACAGTGACACACCTTACGGTGCTGGAGTTGGGCGAATGAAAAAACTCTGCTTCGCACTCTGCATCATCCCTACTTGAGGGCCCTGGTTTTCTACGGCTATCGTGCAGATCGGCTGTTGGTTGGCTCTGGGCGTCTGAGTCATCTTTCCTCAGGCCAAAAAGTTCACTGAAAGGAGAGAAAATGTCTTCATTCATCCCTGGATGTTTGGGAGTCGAAAAAAGACTCAGATCTCCTCCACTACCTTCAGCTGCTACATGGTTGGAGACAGTGTTTTCAGTGATGTCTGTGGCACCTTCCGTCAGTTCTTTGGTTTCTAAAGTTAGCATTATCCCTGTGAGAAGGTCTTTCACATTATCTAAATCAGCATCAGCATGCTTTTTAGATGTATTTGGTCTTACAATATTTTCTTCAGTGTGTTTCATAGGGATATTTCCAAAAGACACATGGTCTACATCTGTATTAAAACACACACACACACACACACACACACACATGAGAAGGCTTGAAAATATCTTCTTCGAATATATTAGTACTGGTAATTAGTCAATTGTATTAACAATTAATTAGTAATTGAATACTTGAAAATAAAATGAAAAACCTCCCTCAAATTATTGCTTTTTTTAAGTCTGTCTATAAACAAATTCTTAAAAACAAAAAAACCTCCCTCTCTCTTTCCCCTATGAATTTAGTCATGTTTCCACCAAATGGGTTCATATATAACATGTATACTCTATTATACAACAATAGCCTAAGTTAAGAATTAATTTTCTGTTTATATTGAAGGTCCTTCTCGTATACTTGTTAGCACAATTGCACATACAACATTTATATAAATAGTATGAGTTCTCAGTAAATGTTTCATTTTCCAAGAGGAAAACAACATGTAAACAAACACTGTTGAGGACCCTGTATAGTTTCACAACTAGGCTAGCTGCAAATGAAGCAGCTTCACTACAAACCCAACAAACAAAACCCATTATAAAATCCTAATTAATGATTGCCTCTCTCCCAAACCAAATCTTGTCCCTCCCCCGACCCCTTTCTCTATATACACTATATGCTAAAGTATAGCTCATATACTTGTATAAAATGATCCTAACAAGATTAGCTAAGCCTCTCTCTAACCTCTAACCCCGGCCCCCATCCCCACCCCATTATCTGGCTCCAGGCCAAAATGTTAAGTAGTACTTAGAATTTAATTTATTTTTTTTTCTGCATTTAGTTTCAGTTCTAACCTATTGCTGAACAAGGTTCTACTATTCTTTCCCCCCATCAAAAAAAAAAAAAAAACATAAACAAGGAAACAGTTACTGACCAGGGCTCAAAACTGAGGTACTTCGGGATGGCGTTGCTATCACCTATGAATCGGTACAGGTGCTAATTAATGAATTAATGTTTACATGTACTTTGTGACTATAAGGAGAATACCTCTATTATAAAGATACCATGCCCCTTCCTCCCCATGCCCCCTTATCAAGTTAATTCCCATGATAAAGCTAAACACCCATTATTTTAATGAATAAGTAAACTGTTATAACTTTGTTGTAAAATTCTTTGAATCTCAAGGTACATATACATTGTTCTGATTGCTTACAACATGCATCATATTCTACATAAGTTTTTATTGAACTTATTTTTGCATCGATCAAGTAGGGTCCACCTTATAAGAAACAACCTCAGACTTCAAAAAGATGACCAAGAAAATATCTGATTAATATCTGAATCTTTTTACAAATGTCAGTGTTAAAATCATGAATTCTAAGTGTTAGCAACAGAATTAAAACTGTCAACCCCATGTCTAATTAGACATGAAAAGCCCAGAAGAATTATTGGAAGACCTCTAGAATGTCAAAATAGAAAAACATTATACTTTCATAACTCTTACCTCTTTGTTTTTTGTTTCTGAAGTCCTTCTTGGCTTTCTTTCATTTTGAAAGCCATATTCATATTCAAATCTGAAGAGGGTTAAAGGTAAGATGGTTTAAAAATAATGATTTTTAAATGTTGCATTGAATATCTGGCCAATCAAGCTAATTGTCACCTAATGATGTACATACATAATACAAAATACTATACATGCACATGCATATAAAATTATTAGCTTAAAAATTAGCAGCTGGCTTTCATACTAAAAGGATAATTAATTATACTTGGCTTTTTCTTTCCTTTTAGAATTCAAAGGCATATATTTGATTACCTATTTAATAAAGGAACTCATGATTATGGCCTTGATTTTGTGAAGAAAGGAGGCAGCCGGGCTTCTTTGCCAAAGATGGGATTTTAACTGAAACTTGAAGAAACCCAGGGAAGCCAGGAGGTGAAGATGAGAAGGAGGGAGTGGGAGTGTTCCAGGCATTTGGTGGGGGGAGGACGGAGAGCGGGGGAGAGAAGGATGGTTAAGATAAATGCTTAAAAAGTCAAGGGTATGTCTTGTTTAAGGAACAGCAAAGTAAGGAGAATAATCATTTGACGGCAGGGTGTGTGTGTGTGTGTGTGTGTGTGTGTGTGTGTGTGTGTTTGGAGGGAGGTTTGGTAGGAATGGTGCAATTTAAAGACAGGAAAGGTCTTCAACTTATAAGATGTAGGGTTTAAACTAGTTTGTAAGAATGGAAAGGAGAGATCTTTTTGTAGGTCAGGTCAGTAACACAACAAATCACAATCCAAACTGATAAATTAAATAATTGCTGCTTTAAAAATCTTTTGCATGACAGTATAGCAAAATAAGTCACTATAGCTAAGACAAGAGAGGAGGAAAGCTGGTTTTGAGACTGCTCCCTACTTGCCCACTTAAGTGTGTCCCATTCCTTTCCTTTTCAGTGTCATCAGTGCATCTCTTGAGACTGTAACTGCACCAGATGATCTGCACAGCAGCAGCAGACCCAGCATTGGAAGAGGGAAGTTTCTAATATGATGCTAAATCCTAAGTCTGGACCAAACTACAGAACACTGAAGCCAAACGAAATATGACTTTGATTAACCACAAGCCAATTAATTGGAGGCCAGTTGCACTGACCCATTATGAACACATGCCACCTTGAAACGGTTCTAACTAATCCAAATCTGAACACATCGTTCTCGTTGAGGTCTATTCAAGAAAAGTTTCTCCTTATCAGTGAGGGGCTTGGTTTGCCTTTCAATGTACTCTCTATTTGTCTTCTCTTTAAAAAATTTAATAAGACTCTTGACCTACCCCAAATCGAACACACACACATATACATATATACACACATGCTCATCCAGATAGATAATTCTCCTTATCTTAGTAACAAAGTTAATAAAGATGTCTGAAATAGGTAACTATGAAATTAACACTAGAACTACTATGATAGATGCTGTGTATGTGTGTTATGTGTGTGTGTGTATGTGGGTATGTGATAGAAAGAGAGGGAGAAAGAGAGAAAGAGAAAGATCTTGCCAATTTCACCTACCGAAATGACCGATCAATTATGGTAATTAAATCTCCGTGTTCAAGCTTTATCGGACGACAAAAGGTAGATCCATTTAACCGAGTTGGAATTGTAGAATTTAAATTAGTCAGTATGGCCTAAAAATGAGACAATTTTAGTAAATAAAACTGAAATATATATAAGAAGCAAAACGAAACTCAGGTCAAACCATACTTGCCTCCTTAAGTTGTAGATTAAATTCAATCTTGCATTGCTGCTTGGGTACTACTGGAAGCTGAAGCTGGATATCGCATTCAGTATCCCTTAATTCAATTTTAAAAGAATGTTTTACTTATAAGAATTTCAGATAAAAAGCTAATTTTGACACAAGTTTTGATATTACTATTGATACCCCTTCACACTAAATGGCAGAATGAAAATATCTTTTAAAAATGAAAAAGCTCTTCATTCTTTTATGGGAGTAGTATTTAAATAATCAGCATTTATTTATTAAATGCCTGTTGCCTACTGTGTGCCAGGCTCTGTGCTCGGTGCTATTGGGCACCCCAAAGCAAGCTTTCAAAGCAGAAGCAATTAAAACTTGGGAGAAACAACCTTCATTTTCATTCCAGGAAATTAGAATTCTGCCTCCTTAACACTCATTCCCTGTTGATCTTGAGAATGTACTGGTTAGTTAAGTAGGATTTTTGGTTTTTTACAAAGCTATAAAAATGTTGGCTAAGAAACTGCTACTATCTAAGGCAAACAAGGGACTAGTACACTACAAAAAAATAGAAAAAAAACCTAACATATTGGGCACAGTCTGCAAACCCTACTAAAGGGGAGTCCTCCCCGCAAAGTTACCTAAGAAAAGTTGAGGCCACAGAGTGCCTTTATTTAGGGAATCCAGTTTCTTCCCTTTTTTTAATCAAACTTGGCAGAGAATGTATGTGTGTGTCTAAGCAAATATGTTATGTTATAAAATTGGTTATAAAGTATCAACTTTTAAGAGATTGCTATAAAGTTACTTTCATCACTATCAGTGTCAAAGAAAGACATTGGTTCAATTCTTTCCCTAGTACTTTCAAAATTATCTCATAAATGTGATTTAGGAATTGGGGTTCTCTAGGTGGAACAGTGAAAAGTGTTAGCCTGGAGCCAGGAAGACCCTTCAGGTTTCATAGGGATTCAAAACACTAAGTCACTTTAACTGTTCTATCTCTGCCTCTGAATTTCCTCAACTATAAAATGGGCATAAATCTATCAAGCAAGATATCTTGCATGGTGCCTGATTTGTAATAGGTAATATAAAAATGCTAGCTAACATCAAAGTTCTGTCAATGGACCAATATATGCTTTTAAGGAGTTAAAAAAAAATCATAGCTTGCTACTGCCACCACCTGCTGTCATGTGGTAAACAAAGTACTTTTGCGAGCAACAAAATTTCTGCCTTACATCAGGAAATTATCTTAGTTTGATCTATCTTAAAAGCAAAGCAACCATGGTGGTAATTATGTGAATAAAGGATGAGTTAGCAAAAAATTATTACTCTATGTGGGTGCCCTAGGCTGTCTTTTCCAAAGCTAGGGGGCTGCATGCAGAATTGTATCACCTTAGGTGAAAGTGGACATAATTTTGATCCAACTAAATTACACTAAAAATAGTGAAGGGCTTCCTCTCTCCCATGTGGCAGAGGGATTTCTGACAAGCAGGTACTCTGGTCTCCTTTCACTAGACAAGAATTCTCTGGGCCTTGAATTCAATTGAATTTTAAAGGACAGGGTTGCTTAGGTAGGCTGGGCAGTTGCACATATTCAAGATTTAGGACATGATTTTGATGAACACATTCAAACATTTTTAATTCCCTTTAGGGATATTATACTAAGGTTTAGAAAATGCATCAAATGTTTCAGTCTCTGCCAACATCAGTGTATGTTTGACACATTTCCAACAAAAGAGGGAAAGTTTAGGCTTAATTTCCCACTTAAAAAAAATTATACAGTTTTATCAAGATTTTTAATGTCAAAACTTCTTTACAGTGTGAGAGAGGATCAACCATGGGGGTGAGGGGCAGAAAATAAAGTAAAAAAGAATAAGGCAGAAATAAAAAAGGAAATTTCAAAGAAGGGACAAAGCCAAGTGCTGGCCTCTCAACAACATTCCTGTTTTGCTATGACATCACTTTAGTCATCAAAGTAAGAATAAGGATTTTTAGCTCTCACCTTCCAAAATAACAAGCAGTTTTGTTTAATGGATACCGGAAACCATCAGCCCCCTGACTTTTTAATAACAATAATATATCCAAAAGTATTCATTTTACGAACTAGAATAAAACCTGAAAAAAAAATTAATTTTACCCATCACTTCACAAGAAACAATTTACAAACAGTTCCACAAAGACTCACAATGGAAAAAAACCCAAAAGCCCTCAAATTGCCTTTTTACAGAGCTGTAATAGTCAGCAAGCTACCTTGAGTGACAAGGTGGAAGTGGGCTGTCCTCACCCCCCCACCCCAGGTTAGATGTCAGAATAGGAAGAACAAGGGGGCAGCCAGGTTAGATGGCTCAGTGGAGAGAGCCAGGCCTGGGCTCATGAAGACTCATCTCCCTGAGTTCAAAATCCAGGCTCAGATACACCTGTTTGCCTCAGTTTCCTCATCTGTAAGATGAAGAAGGGAATGGCAAACCGCTCTCTACTCAGTATCTGTGCCAAGAAGACCCCCAAAAAGCTCAGGACCAGTGCACTGGTCACCACTGAACCCCAAACAAAAGAACAGATGACGATGAGGTGTCCAAAGACACCCCCAACAATGATCCCTGACAGCTGGGCAGGCAGCCCACCCAAAGCCCAGGGGCTGGTGAATCAGTCCCAAGCCCTGGTCAGTTTCAGGGAGGAGGGTGGGGGTCCTGTAACCCAGGCCCTTCCCTAATTAAGGGCACAGCCTGGGGAGACTTCCCCCACTAACACCTTCCCAGGAAGAGTGACAGACTGACCTTTGGTCAGCGTACCAGACACACTGACCCTTCCATAATTCAAAACTGATCTACCCTGGGGACCCCTGCTGCTGACCACCCCCCCATTTTAACCCCCTACCTTATTCTGCCCGGAAGATGGAACTGCTCCAGGGCCTGTCAGCCAGAAATGATCTGGGCAAAAGTAGGAGCCTGGGCTCAAGGAGAGGCCCTGTGAAGTCTCACAAGGGGCCTCCCGCAGGGGGGCCAGCCTCCGAGATCACAATGCAGGGAGGTGGGGGATACAGGAAACTAGAGTCCTTGAAGTCCTTTTAATAAGAATAATATATCCAAAAGTATTCACTTTCACAATAGAATAAAAATCTGAAAAAAAGAATTTTAATTTTACCCATCACTTCAGAAGAAACAATTTACAAACGCTTCTACAAACAGTTCTATTCTTCCTTGTGAAAAAAAAAAAAGATTCACACTGGAAAAAAGAGCATAAAAGCACTCAAATTGCCTTTTTACAGAGATGTAATAGTCAGCAAGCTCTCTGGAGTGACAAGGTGGTAGTGGGCTGTCCTCATCCCCCACCTCAGGTTAGATATCAGAATAGGAAGAAGAAGACGGCAGCCAGGCTAGTTGGCTCAGTGCACAGCGGTGCTGGGCTCATGAAGACTCATCTCCCTGATCAAATTCAGCCTCAGATACACAACACTAATTGGTAGCCCCTGGGCAAGTCACTTTACCCTGTTTGCCTTAGTTTCCTCATCTGCAAGATGTAGAAGGAAATGGAAAACCACTCTCCTCCCAGTATCTCTGCCAAGAAGACCCCAAACAAGCTCAGGAACAGTGGAGTGGTCATCACCCAATCACAAACAGACAGAGGATGAGGTGCTGTCCAAAGTCCAACGCCCCACCATGATCCCTGACAGCTGGGCAGGCAGCCCCTCTCAAGCCCGGGGGCAGGTGGATCAGTCATCAGATTGGGGGGGCGGTCCGTAGCCCTGGTCAGTTTCAGGGAAGGGCGTGGGGGTCCTGTGACGAAGGTCCTTCAGGGGTACTTCCCCCCAGTGACATCTTCCCAGTAGTGTGTCAGAGCGACCCTTGGCCAGCGCACCACACACGCAGACCCTCCCGGTATTCCAAAGGGAAGGACGCTGGGGACCCCCTGCCGCGGACTACACCGCTTAGAGGGCTGTGCGGCAGAAATGGCAGGGGCGGGACCCAGAGCCCCTTAAGGAGGGGCCCTGTGACGTCACACGAGGGGGCTCGGACACGCCAGAATGGGGAGCCCACCTCGTGATCACAATTTGGGGAGCGCGAGGTGGGGGCTTCGCACCTGGAGCCCCGGACAAGGGGAAGGTCAATACATGGGGATACGGACAGACCGGGGGACAGAGGGGCCACAGACCGGACACTCGAACCCGGGGACAGAGGGGCCACTGACCGGACACTCGGACCCGGGGACAGAGGGGCCACTGACCGGACACTCGGACCCGGGGACAGAGGGGCCACGCAGAACGACCGATAGCCGTCGGTGCACCAGCGGGCCGTAGCCTCACCTACCTGCCTCATGTCCTCCCCGCGGTCCGCGGCCGCTCGCTCCACCAGTCGATCCTCCTCGGACCCAGGTCAGTTTGACGTGTATTCCTCTCTTTCCCCCTCCTCCTCCCTCTGCTTCCCTCTGCCTCCCACTGCCCCCAGCTGTCACTCTTGCTTCAGTCCCATGTGTCCCTCCGCCGCTACTACACCACGAAGCACCGGATCCTTCCGCGTCCCCTCCCGTGGCACATACCAACCCCCCTGCCCCACCAGCAATTTCCCGTAGCTCGGGCCTCCTAGGCGCCTGAGGATCAGGGGCCGAGATTGAGGGTCAGGATTGAAGCATCGCGCTCCCGACCCCAAAACTGAGAGCCGACGAAAAGTAATCCCAGACCTGGCGTTGGAATTCAAGTCAAAACATCAGTTCGAATTCTGGCGCCAAAGACTGTGATTGGTTAGGGGGCGGAGCCCATCCTGCTATGGACCAATGGACAGCGGATGAGGCGGGGCCTCGCGAGCGTTGACGCAAGACCCAGAAGGTGGGGTTAGACCCAGAGATTGACAATACCCATGGGCCCCGCCCCCGAGAGAGGGAGCAGCTAGTCTTCCTCTGCCTTCCAACCTCTCCAGGTCCTTCTGCGGCATTCACCTGCCCACGGGCAAAGTGCCTGGGGGCCGGCGAGGGGCTGCCTTTATAGCCCCAGTGGCTGGCCTTGTCGCGGAGGCTGGAGTCCGTCACCACTGATGTCAGGGGGCCGCCCAGGCAGGGCCACGCCCCCCCTCCTGCAGAATACCGGGACTCAGCGCCGGGCCCGGACCCCAGACGTTGGGCTGGAGGGGTAAACTGAGGCTCTCTTCGGCCCTCCTCAGAGGGAGCAGCACTGAGCGCTCCTCCCCTCCAGAGGGGAAACTGAGGTTGGAGAGGGGCAGGCAACTTTTCTAGGACTGCTCTGAGCCCATCCCCTACTTGGGCTGTGAGGAGAAGAAACTTGACTTCCTTTCCAGAAGCCATGAGATAGCGCCCCCTTGGGGTCTTGAGCTGAGCATGGAGGGGAAACTGGAATGGTCAGAGCACCTAGTAGGCCCCATCCCCAACCCTAGGGTGATAAACCAAGGAACAGGCTGGAGGGCTTTGCACTAGGCTGCTCTAACCACACTTCCCACCAACAAGCCCATTGTGGGAGGAAGGGAACCAGTGCTTGCATATAGATTACTGCTTTGAAACCCTATCCCAGAGAGTAAACTGAGACAGGGCTGGAGACCCTTAAACATGGCTCTCGGTCCCCTCCTTCATACTGAGGCAGGTTAGGGAGTCTCACAAGTGAAGCTCTGAGCTCTCCTGTCCAGGGGAAACTAAGGCTTGCCTGGGAAGAGGGATTTGCATATATATCACTTTCTCCCATCCCAGGGGGTAAATTGGTGCCTCAGTCAAATGTTGGGCTTAACACTTGGCCCATCAGAGCCACCCCCCACCCCAGATTGAAGCAAATTGGTTCCTGAACTTATGAACCCCACTCACCCAGGGTGGAACCTCTCAGAGATGGCGAAAATGGCTGCTAACTGGTCAGTGACTGCTTTGAGCCCATCTTCTGACTGAGGGGGTAAACTGAGACATGGTTGGAGGGCTTTACGCTGGACTGATCCAACAACCTTTCCTGCATTATGGCTACTGTAAACCCTACCCCTACACCAGGGGGAAACAGGCAGCCTGCTAGGAGTCCTGCACCCAAAGCTCTGAGCCCCTCCCTCAGACTGAAGCCTGTAAGGCAGGACTGGCAGATTATTTCTTAGAGCATCCTACCACAGGAGGTAAACTGAGGCAAGACTTGGCAGTCCTTACACATGGTCTTTCCGAGTCTTCCCCCCCCAAAAAAAACTGAAGCAGGCTGAAGGGAGGCTTTCCCAATACTGTTCTAAGCATTCCCTTCCAGAGAGAAAACTGAATCCTAATGGGGCAGGCCATACATGTGATCATTCTGAAATGCCCCCACTGCAGAGGGTAAACTGAGGCACAGCTGGAAGGCCTTACATATGGCCCCCACCTTGAAGTTTAAATGGAACTGCTGAACCCTTGGACTCCAGAGGAGATACTGAGGTAGGCTTGAGGGCCTTACAGTGAAGCTCTGAGCCCCCAACCCTCTTCCAAAGATAAACATCCAGCTGGAGGGGACTTGCAGGGACCTTTCTGAGCCCCTTGGTCTCCAGAAGCCTTTGAGGGCAGAGGTGGGGGCGGAGGGAGCCTTACATTCGACTGCTGAGCCTTCCCTCCTCACCTCCGGAGGGGAAATTGAGGCACAGCTGGAGCTGGCTTACTTAGAGTGACCATCCTTTGCCTTGGGTGGAGACACTGAATCTAAACCGAAAGTGCTTCTACAAACCAGATAGTTTCAAGCCCTTGGGGGAATCCATGGGGAGAAACTAAGGTATGGAAGGGGAGGGGAGATATCTTTACACAAGATCCCTGAGTCCCCACCTTCCGGATGTGAAACAGGCGTGACTGGAGGGGCCTAACATATGAGCACTCTAAGCTCCCCCTTTCCAGAGAAGAAACTGAGGCACGTCTGCTTGATTCAGCGGTAACGCTCTGAGTCCCTTTTCCGCCTTGGGAGGAGAAACTGAACTAGCTAATGGGCTAACAGGCGCTGCTTAGCCTTTGGCACCGGCACAGGAAGGGACCAGATGTCAGCAGACCGATAGGATCTTAGACCCTAGCCCCTCGTTTACGACCCCCGGGCTCAGCCCTAGTGGCCCGCTTCCTTCCGAGAGGAGGGAAGAATTCCTTTATTTGGGGACAATCCAGAGGAAGTGGGCGGGGTGAACGGCTGTCGGGATGGAGAGGCGGGGCAGGAATCTGTGTTTCTGCTGGACTCAGCCTGGAGCTGGAGTACTCCCTACTGAGTAAGGCTGGGCCAGCCACCTTTGGTAGAAGACAGGGATTGGCAGAGGGGCCCAGAATTTGCTAGGGAATAGAATTAAGTTCAGCAGCATTTACTAAGAGCAAGGCACTATGCTAAACCGGCAGCTACACAGAAGAAAGGTAGACGTTCTGGTCTAAAGGAGAATACAGTTAGGGATGCGACTAATGGGAGTTTCCTTGGGTGAGGAGGGGAATCGCCTCCAGCAAGAGGGAACTCACTCTCTCTCTCTCTCTCTCTCTCTCTCTCTCTCTCTCTCTCTCTCTCTCTCTCTCTCTCTCTCTCTCTCTCTCTCCCCCGGCTCAGCATCTTTTCCTGTTACATAGAGTTACTTGGCCTGGAGAGCTGAAAGGTTCAGTAAGACCTGCTCAGGGACCCCTACCGGGAATGTCAGAGCCACACGAGCCCAGGGCGTCCAGCTCATAGACCGGTGCTCTTTATGACCACAGAAGCTACGCGGACAAACATGAAAATTCATTCACTGACTTCCAGACACGTTGGAATCAATATGGAAATATGGCTTTGATTTGCAGGCTCCCACGTACACACACACACACACACACACACACACACACACACACACACACACACACAGAGAGGACCATGGGTCCCTATTAAATTGTGCTGTTTTGTTTTGTTTTTCCCATAGCAATCATTTTAAAAAGTTAATCTGCCCCTCCAGCTATCTGTCCTGCCACACCCTCCTCCCCTTTCTCCCACGACCGAGCTGCATAATCTGTGAAAACCACTTCCCACTTTGTCCTTAGCTAAAAATGTCTGTCTCTTTTTGTATGTTAAATTCATCTGTTTTGTCTGAAGGCCAGTGGCAGGTTTCATCTTCATTCTTTTGGACTCATGGTTTATCCCTGTGCTAAATAGGCTTTTAAAGTCTGTGAAAGTTGTTTTTCTCTATGATGTTAGCATTGTATAATCTGTTCTAGGTCTGCTCACTTCACTCTGCATCAGTTCGCAGAGATCTTCCCAGCTTCCCATGAAATTGTCCATTTTCTTCTTTTTTATGTTTCATTACATATATATATATATCCAGATGTTTAGCCATTCCCCAACAGCACAGCATCGTTTAGTTTCCAGCTTTTGGCTACCACAAAAAGAACTGCTGTAATATTTTTTAACACATAGGTTCTTTTTCTTCTCTTTTTGATTTCTTTGAGGTTTAGACCTTATAGAGTCGTTGTAGGGTGAAAGGGTTTGAACAGTTTGGCCACTTTGTGGCCATAGTTCCAAATTTGGAACTTTCTGGAATATCTGGACCAAGCTCCACCACCTACATACCTGCTTTCCCATGGCCTCTCCATCTTTATCATCTTCCTCTTTTGGCATTTTTGTCTGTTTGATGGGTCATGGGGTGAGAGGAACCTCACAATGATTTTAGTTGACATTTATTCAGAGCATTTTTTCATACAACTGCTCCCAGAGCTTAGATTTCTTCTTCTGAAAAATGCTTGCTTAGATGGTGGCCAGGAAAGGCTCAGTTCAAATCTGACCTCAGATGACTTATTTAATCTGTATGACCCTGAGCAGGTTGCTTAGCTTCAAGTCTATCTTTTCTCATTTGTACAATGGGGGTAAAATTGAGTCTTTGGTATAGAACCTACTAGAGTTTTTGTGGACCAGGGATCATCCCCATACCATGATGAAGCCTGAGCCTCAGCAGGGCCTGAGTAGAGCTAATAACCAAAAGTCCTATCTCCATAAACAAATACAACTAAACTTAACAGTTGTCCTTTTTTGTGGCCATCAGATTTTTTTTCTTCTGCAGGGCAGCAGCCCAATAATAGCTTAGGATGATGAAATCTCCAAGAGGATTGAACCTCAGTGCCCATGCATGGCCCATATGATGAATACAGACTGGCTTCATTTATCTGAGCCCGCTCATGTTCCCACTATTTCCTGTCACTCTTTACACATGTGTGGTCTTTGTCAAGGCACCAGCACAGGTATAGATGAACAAGAACAGGCAAGGTGGATGGAGAATCGGAAGACATTTAGGAGCGATATGATGGGGCACATGTCACCAGGAAGGCGCCTTCCCCTCTGAATGTCCCTAAATGGCATTTCCATGAAAAGCCAGAGGGTAATTAGCTATGGGCTGATAATACCATGCTGTGAATTAGTTATACCCAAACTCACTTTTGGGGTCTTTAGCACTCTGCTCTTCCCACCAACCTTGGTCTGAAGGCAGCCTAGTATTGTATTGGTATAAAAAGCTTTGGACTCAAGAGTCTGGATTTGAATCTTAAATATAATATTGACGTGCTTAGGTTTAAGAAGCCAATTTCACTAGTGAAGCACAGGTGAGATCAGGCCAAACAACAGTGGATTTGAAGAAGGTCTGGTGGTTTTAGTGGATCACAAGCTCAATATGAGTCAGTGTAATGAGGCAATTAAGAAAGCTGATGCAAACTTAGGCTCTTATCCAATGAACGGCTGTTGCCCCGCCCATGCCCTTTCTTATGGTCTTTCCAAAAGGGATTGTAATTGAAAAAGCATCAATCTCTCTCTCTCTCTCTCTCTCTCTCTCTCTCTCTCTCTCTCTCTCTCTCTCTCTCTCTTTCTCTCTCTCCCTCTTTCCCTCTTTTTGTCAAAAAGTGAGTGAAAGTGAAGGGAAGAGAGGAAATCAAGCCTGTTCCTTACTCCTGGGTTTGAACGAACAATGGAATATATAAATAATTAGGGATGTAACACAAAAGAGCATTCTTCCCACTGTCAAATGTTAAGACAACCTTCAACAATAGAATGTTTCCAGGTTTGTGTGACTAATCCTGAGAATGCTAAAGTTGCAAGGTGCCTCCAGGGACCCCTAGATCTAGACCCCTGCCCGAAGGCAGATGGGTGTCTCTCTGATTATTAAACTCTCTAAGGAAAGGGATTCTACATACCTGCTCTAGCATTTAGTTCTTTGAAAGAAAAGAGAGGAAAAACACACAGAGATTTGTGTTGGTAGATGATTATGGCTTTGCCAGCAATCATCGGACATATTTGTGGATAAATTTGGATGAAAAAAAAGAACTTTCAGCTTGCCATCTAACTGCCACCTCCAAGACAATCAATGACAAAATATAGGTAGGTATGAATTGGTGAGATAACAAAATTCTAAGTGTGGATTGCTTTCTGGTATTCAGAAATGCCAGTAAGACCATATTTGAGTAAAAACTTTTCCTCAACTTTTCACATTTGGGAATGTAGCTCAAGGTATGAATGATTACAGTTCAAACAATTTAAATA